ATATCAAGATATCTTTTATCCAGTATCGTTTCCAATTCCATATTCATCAAATACCAACCACATTCTTCAGTGAAACAACATGAAATGTAACGAAACAACAATGAACACATTTGTGCTTGAGTGAGTGGAAAATATTGTGTTAGGCTGGATTATTTTAATTCATCTGGAATAGGCGTTCAGTCGGAACAAGTAAGAATGAGTGAACACAGTAACACACAGTCTGTATCGTTCCAATCGCTGTACACGTCGTCCATGGTTTTGTAGTCGTGCCGACCAACCCGAAAACCGTACGCAATCATTTTCTAAAAAAGTACCAATTAATTTTTTCTATTCATCGAGCATTCTGCTCTCATGTGGAAGGTTGGGGGAAGAATAATGCCATTTCTATGAGTTCTTCTTCACCAAACAATGCGTCTCATAACGCAGTGTGCTCGAATGAACTTATGTTAATGCACACACACAAATTGATATTGAACTTTGTTGGAATTGTGTAATTACAACATTCCGTCAATGAATCCAGAGAAGAATGGCCGTGTTCAAAAACTTTTGAATGAATAAGCGAACCTCTTTTGCGCCTTTAAGGAAATATTTTGGTTGTACGTTCGCGGTTGATGTGACAGGCGTTTGTCCGTCCAGAAATCGATCGGCGTACGGGCTTCGTTGTTTTCGTGTTTGATCACCTGTCAGTCATAAGAAAATCGGTCGTTTAAAACGACTGAACAGTGCTCATGTATCCTCTTTCAACGCTTACTTGAAAAATAGCCTCAAAAATCAATGCTTGAGATAAATATTTTTGGACTAGCAATGCACTATTTATGAAGCTTTACTAAGGTTTCTTGTCAGTGAATGTTTCAAAATCGCTCAGCTCATAAGGACTGCGCTGAACTCACAAGAAAACCACGATTGTTGTGAATTGTCGTACGGTTCCGTTAAACCGCAATTCGTTTGTTGCATCTGCTTTCGTTTATTAACCACGAAATCATCGTATACTGTACCGGATTTTTTATGACAAGTTCGGCCTTGGTTAATTAACGAACCCATATCTTGCTCTCCTATCAATTTGCTCTTCCAGTCGTCACTTCTCGTCCTCACTATCTCGTTAGTACGATCTGTAAAGCGAAATCTTATCAAATTGGCCGTTTCTTTGAAACTGAAGCATTCGGAACATCTATGTTTGGGACAAAAATAAACCATCGCATACAAAGGTGTTAGTTAAGGACTTGTAAATAGTAGACATTTAAATTTCTTTTAAAGAAATATCCATGAATGTAACTCCGTTCATATGGAAGCATTATTTGAGCGCTTAGAACGAGAGGCTTTCAGAGGCACTCATTCTATCCAGAAAT